ATCTGAAGGTTTTTTTTCTCTTTTTATTACTTCGAATGAAAAGTGACGAGAACTGCTGCGGTTTGACACTCGCTTTCATCTCGCACCCATAAGAATTTCCCATGTTCTGCGTGTGCTGAGAGCCAGGATGCCACAAGACTTGGTTTCCTCCCTCTACAGTAGAGCTCACTTACTGGCAGCCTAATGTGAAGATGCACCGTCTAACCTGCCGCCCAGTAAAGCTGCCGGCCTCGCAGAGGTGTAACTAATTAACCCCGACTGACCCGGTCAGAGCCGTTATGCTGCCGTTGCATCTAAATCAGTCGTCTGCTGCGTGCTGCTGGGACGATTATGTCACTAAGTGGTGTTAAGTTTAGTAATTTTGTTACTCAAAAGTTGCTGAGTGAGAGTTGGACAGGGTACGTGAGTCAGACGGTGATAAAAAGCATGACGGAGAACATTAAAGCCACTCGTTTTTTTTTTTTTTGTTTTTCTTTGCTTTATAACTCCAAAATCCAGAATGTACTGGAAGCTAAACCTTTATGGTGGGAAACAAAAATCCAGCGTTTAACAGCAGCTTATGAGAAAAAAAAAAATCCTGCAGAGCAGCAGTTCCTGATCCAGTACAAACCAGTTTCTGAGCCCAGAGATTTGCTTCAGCGATTTAACCTGCACTACTTTTTCATCAGGTTGAAGGAAGAAAGAGAGAGAGAGAAAAAACCCATTTCTCTGCTTATTAACAAACAAAACGGAGGAGAATCTGAACCAAACTCACTAATCTGCACAGAATTTGGATTTATTTCAATTTTGAACTTAATAAGATTAAAAATGAGTCATTGGATTGAAAACAAGAAAAGAAGTGAAACAACAAGCATCGAACCTCGCAGCAGATTTGACAAATTAACTCCCCACAGTCTGCACATGCAGGGAGGCCTGTGAGTTTTGGCAGCAAACCTCTCACGGACTTTCGTACAGCTGGAAATCGATGTCGGCTCAGTTCAGCTTCTGGTCAGTGCAGGGCATTGATTCTGGCATCTTTTCTGAATTAAAAAGCGTCACAGCGACATTTGACAGTTTATGCTGCTAAAAGCAACAACTGACTCTGCAGAATATAATTCATGTTTAGGAGTCAGTCTGTTGAAATAAAGCACATGTTTTTGCTATGTTGCATTGCAGCAAAAACACATTTAAACCAGAAACTTAATATAAAGCAAGGGTTAACTTGTGCATGAAATTCAAGGAGTATGAAGTCATTAGACTGACTTAGTTCTTTTTTTTTTCCATCTGCAGCCTGAGAGATTAGATGTGGACTTTTTCCTAAAACAAACAAAATGAGGACTTGACCATCAAAGATATGTTGTGAAACTGTGCTACAGTCCAAATGTTGAGTTTTTTTTTTTGGCCTTGTTTTTCACTGGCTCTTCCCGTCTCTAATCTCTTTTTGATTCTTCATAAAATGGGAAGAAGGCAATTTTCTGTTTTTCTTTTGCTTTGGTATCCTAGTCGACTTTTTTTTTTTTCCCCTGGCTTTCCATTTCAAGACTGTGGGCCGTTGATAACGCACGTCACAACCACAAACTGCGACGTGTTGCATTGGGATCTCATGAGACAAACTACAACAAATTAACACATGTTCTGTATTTATCCAGCTTTACTCGGATGCCCTTAAATATAACTCTGTTCAACCAATCACCTACAGTAGGCTGACAGTCAGATGTGTGTAGTTTAATATCAGTATGATTACAGCCGTTCTGGGAAGCCCTCAGAGGTTTGTTAGAGAAAAGTGAACAAACGGCATCATGAAGGACGGAGAACGCAGTGGTCGGGTCGGGGAGAGAGATGGTGGGAATGTTTCGCAGAGTTACGTTATAAAAATAAAAAATCTCACAAACTTTGAACGCCTCACAGATTTCAGACGTCTAAACTGTCCGACTGGACGAGGAGAACATTGATCAGAGAGACATGTGGTATCTCTGCTGCTGGGACAATCTGGTAACAAAGCATCTAATATTTGTGAACTCAATAATTTGAGCCCTTACGGAAGAGTGGGCAAGCGAAAGAAAACCAGAGTCCCATTTTAACACAGAGGGTTCATGGGAAAAGTTGAGACGAACATTTACGTTTTGGTCAATGCAAGACGCAAAACCGTGGAGCAGTTTAGACGAAAGCACGTTGATGTGCTAGAATGGCCTAGTCAAAGTCCAGAACTAAATGGAGTCAAGAAGCTGTGGCAAAGCCTAAAGATTTATTTTCACAAACACTCTCACTCCAACCTGAGTGAACTTGAGATATTTTAGAATAATAGGCAAGAAAATTCTCCAAACTTCCCTCCCCAGAGAATATAATTTACCTTCCACTTCACAATTATGCACAAATTATGAATGTCAGTTACGTGAAATTCATGGCCATTTAACATTTACAACAACCTTCAGGTGCAGAGGCACACATTTTGATCCTGGAGATTTTATTACACTGTAAAAAAAAAAAAAAGACCATCTCTAAAATACTGGTTGCCAGAATTTTATCTGATTATACGATAAAATTCATGGCATTTTACAGTAAATTAGACGTTTTTTTTATTTTTTTTTTACAGTGTAGAGATTCTGGGAAAATGTGTGGTAAAACCACACATTGTAAGTATGTCGTAACTAGGCCATAGTTACAACATAGTTACAAATGTTGTAGCTATGACCTGTTATGTTAACTCCTCAGTCTTTAATGATCTTGAATAGTAGAAATATATATATAAAAAAATCCATCTAAATTCAAATTAGATAAGATGCTTGAGAAGTGTACCTTTGTGACCCACATGACGACATTTTGTCAAAACTGGGAGCCATAAAAGAAACAAGTGAAGCGCTCTAAGAACAGGATAACTCCATGCATTTTCATTCTAGACTATCAAACTAGAATGTGTGCATAGGATGGAATAATAATAACAGGTGGTGGACGGTCAGTTTCACGTAGAGCCTGTAGTGGGGAAGCTGCTCCACAACTCTCCACGTGTTGCTGCTGCAAGTGTAAGAAAGAGCGGATTTCCAGGATCTGGGGGAGAGGTCAGTCATCCAGCCAAGGAAATGACAAATATTCATTGTGTAACCACATCAGCTTTACTTACAGAGAAATGACCTACACACAGAAATGACCTACACACAGTTCATAGCCCCGTTTCACAGAAACACACTGACTTAAAGAAATCCCCCAAAATAGTTTTCTATCAAAAGAAACAAGCGTCACGTGAAAAAGCAGTTTTAATCAAGGCTTTTGGTGCACCACGATGTCGTGGCTGGACAGATATCTCACAGATTTCTGTTCAGCCCATCTTGGCAACACAGACGTCCAAGCTGTCCGCCTGGACGAGGAGAGCGTTGAGAGGCAGGTGATGGGCTGGGAGAATCTGGTAACAAAACATCTAATATTTGTGAACTCAATAATTTGAACCTTTATGGAAAAGTGGACAAAAAGAAAAAAGAAAAGGCAATCGAAAGAAAACCAGAGTTCAATTTTAACACAGGAAGTTCATGGAAAACTTTGAGAACAAAATTTACGTTTTTGGTCTACATGCAAAACGCTGCGTGTGGCTCAAAAGTAACACATCACTATAAATGCAACTATTTTAGAAGATTTTTTAAAGTGTGCTCGTGTGTGTGTGTGTTATCGATCTTGTTATCGACCAATGCGAGGCCTTACCTTGCATTGATCTTCCTCACTGTTTCTCTTGTGTAAGGATGTCATGGCTGATTCGTGACCCCAGACTTATCAGAAGACCAACAAAACTGTATGCTTAAGCACTGCTGTCACTGCCCCAAATCCTGATACAGTGCTGGCTGTCACTGGGAATAAAAACGCCCTTATCTACACTTCGTGCTACTGTATTGATTGATTGATTCAGAAGGACTCAAAATCCTTAATCCACTCAAATAGAAGTCTCTGGAAATTCGCGGGGCCAAACTCGTTGACAGCTTCAAAGTTGCCTTTGTAGGTTTACAGATCAAACGTCTCTGGATGCCGATCTTCAAAATGCTTTATCTACCTCTCTTGAGACACCAGTTTAGTCTGGACACCAGCGTCGCAATACTTAACAACTCATTACGTCTGAATGGCAGAGTATTGAATAATGGATTGCTGACAAATTATCGACGCTACACTCGCCCTTTTGCTGATCTGATTAAATCTCAAAGGTAAACACCGAGAGTGAGACAATGGACAGGGTGGAGCGTGCTCGGATGTCACGGGCCCCCCGTGTTTTTCAAACCCTCCCGTCTGAAAAAAACAAATGATCAATGATCTGAAACAGAATAAACAAAACGACTGAAATGGTTTTGACCTCAAAGCCTCCGAGATGCGATGAAAATGTATTTCCAGGCACAATCTCTGTCCGACAATGTCTACAAGGGACGTCTCTAATGTTTTAGGAAAATCACAGGGAAATAACTTCTGATAATCATGATAATCAAGCAGTGATGTAATGTCTTTATACATTCGTGTAACCACCTGAAAAATGAAAAAGGGAAAACTCCTTCTTCAGTCGAGTAGAAACAATTTCAAAGAAAATGCACACCATCAATTGACACATCTTAAATGAACTCTAGAATGAAAATGAGGGAAAACATGAAGTGCACAAATAATTATTTTAAATTTTTTTTATAAAAATTGTGTTGTAATGCAAAGGAATCTTCCATATCTGCACTCCTAATGGGACGATAAGGTCTATCAGGGGCCCAAGGAGCCAGAAAGACACAATAAAAAAGGATAATCAATCTGAACGACACACTTTCAGGCCCGCTATCTCTCTGTCAACTCACCATTTTCTTTAAGTGAGCCTTAATTTGACACAATAACTGCATGAACTCCCACCAAACGTCAGGACGGACACCCCGAGCAGGTCAGGTTAATGTTTCACCAGCGTTGGTTTTCAAGGCCCAGGTTCGCACGGCCCACAGAGTTACGTGCAGGCCGTGTGGAGAGACGGAGGGAGGGTTTATGGTCAAAGGGGCTTATCTCAGCGAACTGATCTGCTCCTATAAATCGTGGGGATGGCAGGGCCAAGGTGGAAACGATACTTCGGCTGTGAGCCTTCAGGCTATCAACTTGTCTTCAGCTCCTTAGCATCTACGGCGTCGTCTTCAGTTATGGGAATTACCTACAGCGTTGGAGAGTAAGTATCTCTGACAGTGGTGAATGTGCTGCTCTGTATGGTTTTCCATATGCGCTGACAGGACAGCATGTTTGTAAAAGTAAGACGAAAGTGTTTCTCTTTTGTGGAACAAGAGCTTATTGTCCTGCAAAATAAACAGCTTCTACGCTTTGTTTTGAGTATTTTATTATTATTATTTTTTTGATGACAGATGTAGTTATTTTTTTATTACATTAGTGAATCTGTGATTTTTGCAGTGCAATTTTCTAGTCCATTATGTTTTTTTTAAATGTTTTTTTTTATTTTTTAGATTTTTGACATTTGACAAAGTAAGACTCAGAAAATTAAAATAAATCATGTTTAATATTAACGTTTAATTCCCCAACATTTGTTTTGCAGGGCTGAATTAGTAATTAATAATTCATCCCTGCAAAGCTGTTAACTGGGTAGAATGTCTCAGTTTCCAGCTATTTGTGCACATTAACAACTTTATCAATTTAATTCACAAATTAAAATAACATTTTGCATTTTTTTTTCCCATTCTCACCATTGCACACACACCAGTCTGTGGGAAACCACAAATGTAAACCATGTAAAAATGTAAACTACGTTTACTCTAAAAGAATCATTTGTATTTATTTGACAACAGTTCTCTCTCATTTCTAAATAAAAATATTCTTATCTCCGGCATTTATTTGCAGAAAATGACAAATTTTCAACGCAGCATGAAGCAATGCAACAAAAACAAGTTCCCATTCATTTGACATAATGCTAACACTAAGTAGTTAGTAGAAGCTTATAAATCATCGCCCTGATTTTATGTGTCTTGGCATGTTCTCTGCAAGTCTGACATCACTATTGAGTTTAGATAATCAGCCAATCATGCAGGGCCTCGTTGAGCAGGGTGTCAAAAACTGGATGGGGTTTCTCAACGTGTCTCCAGTTGTGCAATGCTGCACTTTATTCGAAATTAAACCCTCTTCGCTCCCCTTTTGCCCTGCAGGGTTGATCACCTCTACACCTTCTTCGTGCAGTGGTCTCCAGACATCTACAGCAAAGGCGAGAAGAAGCGCTGCAAGCCCTCCAACAACGTCAGGATGAAATGCCACAAGGACACGAACGGAATCAGCAAGGCCTTCAGAAAACCCGCCAGCAAGCCCCAGGCTGCAAAGAAGTGGGAGGTGAGTTTTTGCTCAGGCAAAGAAAGAAAAATAAGATAAGTCAGAGATTGTTGAGCTCCGCTCCCAACAGAGAGCACATTCTTCAGGAGGGTTTCAGGAGAACATCGCCCCTCCTCTGTTACAGTAAAAGCAAGCCGAGGGCAATGCATGCAAAAAAAAAACAAACAAAAAAAAAAACCCGAAACCCACCTTCCTTATATGGACATCCTTTCTCCTCCTCCTCTGTAGCTCGGGGCAAGGTTTCCGTTTCCATGTATGAAGGAAAGCAAAACTCTAGCGGCAACGGTTAACCAATAAGCAGCCGCGCGGTTGGGTTTCCGACTAATGAAAGTGAAAGCGCCGCACACGGTATAAAAAGGGAGAGAGTTTCCCTCCAGAGAAAGCAGACATGTGGAAGAGCAGAGCGCAGAGGTTGACAGACAGCTCAGGAGCTATGAAGAAAATGCAGAAAAATATCCGAGTGCTTTATTTCGCCAGTGACTGTGCGGAGCCGTACGTTGAGGTGAGATTGTGAGCTGGAAGGAGGCGAAGGGGGATTATTTGCTGTCAAGCTCTCAGGGGTTTTACTTACAGCTGCGTATCTGTAGGACAAGTCTGTGTGTGAAAAAAGACGAATGTCAGAGGGGGAAAAAAATGTGTGTGGGGAAGGCAACAGTTTTCTCATGGCTTTGTTGGCATCTTCTGTCCAGATCATCACGGTGAAGGACTCAAAGCGCCGCCTGAGTCTCTGTGACTCGGTGGAGTCTGAGGTGGATGAGACCGAGTTCCAGGAGGTTGAGGATGACTTTCCTGTCCTGAGCCATGCGAGCCAGCTGCTGGATGACTTTCACCTGCAGAAGGTGAGTTTTACTCCTCAAATCCGGCCAGTTCTAATGGAAAAGTTACTTCTGTGTTGTTATTTTTGGACTTGAAAAAGCTAGCATTAGATGTACAAGAGCATCATTTGATCCAAGACTTACTTTTTTTTTTCTTTTCTTTCCCGCAAACAGATTGCAGCTAACTTGCCTCCAAGGACCCAGGGGTATCCGTGGCATCTAGTTTACAGCACCATCAACCACGGGAGCAGCCTAAAGACGCTCTACAGGAACATGGCTGACCTGGACAGCCCCGTGCTGCTGGTCATCAGAGACATGCACAAAAAGGTTTGCATCTTGACTGTTGGCTTCAACACAGATTTTAAAATGAGGGGGGAAAAAAAAACAAACAAAAAAAAAAAAAACCCAAAAATGGACATTGACTAACGAGCTGCTAACTTATGTTCCTTCCAGGTGTTTGGAGCTTTTTGTTCGGATCCATTCAGAGTCAGTAAATACTGCTACGGAACGGGCGAGACCTTCTTGTTCAGCTTCAATCCTGACTTCCAGGTAGGAGTGGACTCCATTTTTATTATCATTGGGAAAGCTGTTATCATACATTTAATATCAGCAAAAAAAAAAAAAAAAAAGTACAACTGACTAACATTTTGTGTTTAATTCTCATTAGCAATACAGGTGGAGCGGGGAGAACTCCTACTTTGTGAGCGGCAACTGGGAATCTCTGCAGATTGGTGGAGGAGGGTAAGTTCTCCTTTCCTTCACTCATGACTAATATGAAAGAGGCAGTTTATGATAAGGCAATAATAATAAGAAAGATTTAATTAAAGATTTAAAGATTAATTAAAGATTTAATTTCTAATTTTCTAAATGTTTTCTCTTTTCTTTTTTTGTAGGGCTGGCTTTGCTCTCTGGCTGGATGCTGACTTGTACCACGGCGCCAGCTTTTCCTGCCCCACCTTCCGCAACGCTCCTCTTTCCACCAATGAAGACTTCATTGTGCAAGACGTTGAAGTCTGGACTGTGCAGAACTGAATGGGGGAAGCACTAAGAAGACAAGATTTCCCATCTGAAGCTATGACACTTCAAGGTCAGCCAACCCGTGTGCTGCACCCCAGACGGCGCATCCGCCGTCAGAGCCGCGTCTGGACCGGAGCGACCCGCGCAGCACGGAGACGTACGCGACGTGGTTCCCACGGTGGGCTTCCTGCTCGGTGAGCTGGAACTGTTAGAAGCAAGTGGCAACTTGAAATCCCACAAATCATGCTTCCTGTGTCTGCAAGCCCCCTCTGGCTGTTCGCCGCAGTCCGCCCCGCCGGTGGCCTTCTGCGATCCTGAAAAGCATCTTGGGCACAATGTTCACACTGAAAGACGTGTTTGTTTACAGTTCTAAAATTGTATGCATGCCTTGTGATATGTGTGTGTTTTTTTACACCTGCTTGTGCGTTATTTGCTTGATGGTAAAACCCCGCCCCCCCCCAAAAAAACAAAAAAAAACACTGTAACAGGATAGGAGATGCAGTTGCCTGTCTGAGCTGGTTTGGTTTCAGTGTTACTCCGTTTGAGTAGACCAAATCTGATGAGGTGAGGTAAAGCACTGCTTTGCACTACAAACATATAACTGTACTGTGTACATGTGGTGTGTGAGGAGGAAGTGAAAACTAACCGTTAACCGTCTTATGTACTGCTGCTATGCTATGTTCCTCTTTGGAGTATGTAGCTTATAAGATAGTAATGATTAATGTTTGAAATCTTTGGCTTATTTTTGTATGTAATTATTTAAAGATAAATCTTTTAGTTTTTATATACAGAAAATTTGAAACGAGAAACTAAAGCACATGTTTGCTTGTATGTCTGTTTGGTTTATTTGTTTGTGCACAAATCTGATTCTGCCGGGTGGTGCTGGCACCGCCACAGGTCTTTTTCCTGGAAAAGATGTGTGTTTGAGTAAAATGGCATATAAATAAGCTTTTTCTTTGGAATTGATTAAGCTTAATAAAAAAAAAATAGAGATGTTGTCAAATATAAACTGTGTGATGTGTTTAATTGAAAGAGCGAACTGGGTTAAAGTTTTTAATAGCTCAAACAAAAATATTCACACTTAATATCTATTTTACACCAAGTTACAAGAAACCACGCCTTTTATCAATAGCAGAGAACAAAAACACTCTGCTCAAGGATCTGAACTGAAGACTTTAGTTAAACTTTAACTAGGACAATTAAAGCCAAAAGAGCTCAGTTGGTTTTCTATTAAGTATTTACAACACGTTATAGTAGCGATTTGAGACCGGACGGTTATAAAAGTGATACGTGTGCATGTTGTCGGCTGCTGAGAGCATTTAGACAGAGAACCAGTGAATTGACCTGATCAGGGTCGTGGTTTTCTGAACACTTATGTTCTAAACTCAGTTTTCCTGGCAAGCTTGATGTTTACCTGCAGCTGTCACGAACAGCGGCTGGACGGAGGAGCAGACGCGCGTTCTTCAACAAGTCCGCCACGTTTACAGGAGCCGTCAGCTCAGCATTCAGACCACTGACATAAATATCTATTTACTTCTGTGATTCATCATTCCTACGATGAATCCTATGACAGGTAAACTGTATGTCAGGGTGTCATTTCGGCTGATAAAAATGAAGCATAAGGTGAGCATGAGGTGTTTGGCCTGATTGTCCAACGCACCTGAACGCAACACATCATCAGAAGATGTAATCTTAAACTGAACCACCAATTTATCTCATGGCTCTGAGCCATCATTATGTCATTATATCATTTCACAGAAGCCTCATCTCTGATGTTGCAGGGTTAGTTTTTTTTCCTTCTTGCAGCTTTATTTTGTCTCTAGTTTCATCATTTCTATCAGGGAAGCAGAAAGTGGTTGCTCCGGATACATTTCTTGGGATTCCCAACCGTTATTTTTAGAGATCCCTTCAGCAAACCTGAATATCTTATTACGTGTGCCGCCACCTCGACCTGGACCCCGCAGCATGTTGTACTGATTAAAGAAATGGTCATAAATTATTTACTGAATTTACTGTTGAAGCTGTTAAAGCAGTTCTAAATGTTGGGTCATGCTGGTGACGTTATTCTTTCGTATTTGAATGCCATGTTAGAGAGCTGACACCAATCAGTGCAGTGGTTTTCTGTTTCTGCAGAATGTTTGCACTGGAACTTTTTTTATTATCAAGCAAAAAAAAAAAAAAAAAAGCTAAGCTGTTCGAAGGCTGCCACACCTGCAAAGCGCTTAATGTCAAACTGCCATATGTGTGACTGAAGTCATGTATGACAGAGGATTACCCATGGTTTCATTTTTAGAGAGATGCTTGAATTCTGCATGCTGATTTTAATTTACCTCATGCGTGTTATGATTCAATATGCTCCTTTCTTTCTGTTTTTCTTTTTCTTCACACGCACATCCCAAAGTTAAGATAGAGTCGATTGCAAACCCTTCTAGAAGGATAACAATGCCAAGTCTAAACTTGTAGGTCGCTGATATAAACTGAACTTTGGGATGTGGAATGCAGAGTTATTCATGCATGAATCAGTGAAAGTGTGCGTACGCCAACAAACTCCTGGAGTCCTTTTTATTCTAAAATTTCATTTACCAATCGGCATGAAAATATGACTGTGTTTGCTCCCACACAGATTTCTTCTGTTAAAATGTTTCAGATCATCGAAGGTAAGAACATCCATCCATTTTCTTTACACCCTTGTCCCTTAATGGGGTTGTGAGGGTTGCTGGTGTCTCTCCAGCTAACATTCTGGGTGAGAGGTGGGGTACACCCTGGACAGGTCGCCAGTCTGTTGCAGAGCAACACAGAGACAAACAACTATGCACATACTCACACCTACAGACAATTTGGAGAGGCCAATTAACCTAACAGTCATGTTTTTGGACTGTGGGAGGAAACCGGAGTACCTGGAGAAAATCCACACATGCACAGGGAGAACATGCAAACTCCATGCAGAGAGACCAGGGCTGGGAATTGAACCCAGAACCTTCTTACTGCAAGGCAACAGCTCTACCAACTGCACCACTGTGCAGCCCAAAGGTATGGACAGTAAATTCAAAAAGAGAAGGCAAAAACTAACCCTGCTGCATTGTTAATTAAAGAATTGGGAAGCTGAGGGAAGCTGAGTTCAGCTAGCCACAGCCTGGCCTGATAACTGTCAGACCCGTAAAATCAAGAAATAACATAAGTAGAATCTGTATGGCAACTTTAAGCAGGGCAGTAGATCTTCTGTTCTGGGCAGCTTGCCACTGATAGAACCACAAACTCTGGCAGAAAGAAATCCTGGAGGAGAATGTCTGACCCTGGTTTTGCTGAATTTATGCAACAGGGCTCTGACGCAACGGACATGAGCAATTTCCCTGAAAAATCAGAATTTTGCATTTCCTCTGGTCGTCTTCGTCTTATATCAAAGTACGTTTGACTATCTGAACCTTTTAAGTGTGACAAACAAAGCAAAACACAATAATCCGAACAGAACTGGACATATTTATCTTATGGATTTATACTTCATCTAGTTACTTCAGCAGCAGTTTGTGTAACATGTAGGACGGAGGAACTTTCCTGCCGGTGGTCTGTGGTTTGGTCTGTAACTCTGTGAGTAAGTAGGTTAAATACATGAAGCGAAGCTAGCAGGACCTTAAACCGCAGGTGTTTCTACCTCAACAACAGTGACATTTGTTTAGGAAATTGTTTTGCATGTGTGGGGAATTAAATGTCGAAGGTCAGTAGGATATGTTTCCCACATCACGGCACTGACTCTGACGTGGTGGATGCTTATTTCCAGTGGACTTTCTGTTTGGAGTTGTTTGTCCGACGCCTTTGTATTTTTCTTTTGCGGTACCTCTGGGTTTTTGTTTTTCCTCCTAGGGCCTCCATGTTTTCAGCCGTTTGGTTCCCGGTGCTCTGCTCTCCTCTCCTTTTTCTTTTTTCTTACCTCCTAACCATTTTCTGTCATCTTCAACTTCTGCTCCATGACCGTTTGGATCATGTCGCCACAAAAAGCAACCTTCGGGTTCCTCTGTCATCCGCTTCAAGCTGTCCGGCGTCTGCACTTTGTTCTCAGCAGCTGCAGCTCCATGACACACAACCAAACCAAGACCCCAAATTTAGGAGCACTTATGTAGTGAAAGATCCTCTGTGTTTTAAATTTAGGCAAAAATATATTCCATTAATTCTGGTCACTTTGTGTAGGAGTTGCTCACGGGGCTTTCTGTCTTCAAATTCAGGTGGTTTTACTGGGGTTTTTTTTCTCTCCAGCATGTTCCTCACAAAAATGCACCGTCTCTAGTTTGTTAAACATTTTCTCTGTGTTTGCCGCACTAGTGACCGTTTTCCCATTTGTAGCTGCTGCACGGTGCTCTACCGCAGAGCCACACGATTTCCCCCCACCTCCCTTACAAGAAACCTACAAAGAGGAACAAACAGACTAAAAGAAAACTAAATTCAAGAAGAAAAATCTCTTGGCCATTTGGTTTTGGAATCGAAAACCGGGGGGAAAAAAAGTAGTTTCAGTATCCAATCACCAACGTTCTGTTATCTTTTGATCTGTTTTTGTCCAGAATTGGAAACATTTTTTTAAGAGAGAAAAGATGAACATTGTCGTGGTTAGAGTCTAACCACAACAACGTTCTGCTCATGAAAAGTTCCCATGCAAGATGTTCCTGTAAAAGCAGAGGAAGCCACATTTAGTTTTTTTATTTTATTCTCACCCCTCTAAGCTTATGGTTAGATTTAGACCAGCCACCTGTTTTTGACTTGATTTGTGTTTCATAAATACAGCAGTGATCTTACCATCCCAGATACATCACTGGTTAACTTCAACACACACATTTAACCGTGTGCTAATGAACAAAAAGATTTAGCTTTAACTTTAGACAAAAGATGAGCAATCAAAAAATTGAACATTATATTAAATATTTCAAAAAGCAGATTCAGTCATTAACTACTATTGTCGTCCCTCCATTTATGCACTCCTTTTCTCTGGTCTAATAAAATATGCCAATCAACGCCCCTGAAGTTTTTGTTTTAATCTAACAAAAGGTTGAGGGATATAAATACTTTTGTCATTTAGAGTCCAGTTATGTGTATATTCTGTTTTTTTTTTTAGTGAAAGTGAACCGGATCCCTCATTGTAACATTTCCCACGCCTAAAAATGGCCGGGGCATCCAGCATCATGGAAATAATTTACCCGATTTGATAAGAGATAAACAAGCTGCTTAATATCCTGGAAAGGAAATGACGACAGTGTGCGTTTGCATGCTTGTGCAGAGTATTGTTTTTCTTCTGTTAACATGAACTCTTAATCTGATTCAAAATAAAAATGTCACCTTTCTAAAACCGAAAACACCTACAGCAACAGTTGCATTTTTTTTTTTAATATTAGCTTTCCTGTGTAAAAGTTTCAAATTAGTCAGAAGCCTCATTTCTCAGATCCAGCATGAACAATCAGCCACTACAGGTGTATAATGATTCAGGACTTGCATGCGCTAAGTTTACGTATGAAAACCTGCATGTCTAACTTGCGAGCTTTACGGCTGATTGTTTTTTTCAAGTTTGCGCTATGATCTAGTCTGTCTGGCAGAACTGGCCCTAACTCTCCAGTGGATTGTCTCACTGTTTCTCTTGTGTAAGAAAGCAGGGGCTGATTGTTGGCCCCTGTTGCGGAAATTTTCCTTTAACAAAGAGTGAGGGAAAACTGTGTCAAGAACCGGAGAAAGGATATATTCTCGATCAGTATTTATTCGAAGTCTCGGCTTACTGATCCCAGCCAGGAGAAAGAGCCCTGTGCAGAACGGAGCTCACACTTTTATAGGGAGAGTTTCATTCCAGTTACGTAGTTTGATAATCTACCTGATTACAGAACAGGCAGCAGACAGCGAGCACACGTCTTCTTTCACTCGGAGCCACGAGAGATAAAGAAACAATTCAGTGACTTCATTGTAATGCTAAGGCCAGAGAAACTAAACTCCTTCAGAAGATTTTCTCATGAGCTCATGCATCACACAAGAATCACAATA